CGGTTTGAAAGGGAGGAGGGGGGGACTCAGTTCTTGCCTTCTGTGAAAGAGGGATCCAAACTCCCGCATCCGCAGTTGTTGAGCCGTGGTTTTCATTGTGCTATTGAAGATTCCGTTCCTCCAGGCAGGTAACGTGTGTCAGAACGATTTTATCTTGGAGAGTGAAAAGTTTGTTTGAAGCTGGAGAGGAATAAGCATAAGACACAGATTGAATGAGGAAATGGGGATACAGGGGAAAAGAGTGACAGAATTAGTCATGCAAGTGTCGAGACAGGAAAAATGTATTGAAGATAAAGGTTTTATGGAGCAAGTAGCAAGATCTAAGTCGATTCATGATTTAATCCGAAGATGATGCCGATGATAATGAAGTTATTTAATATATATTTTGTGAATGGAACCTCTTCTTTCATAAAATTAGGTGCATGACGTGAACCTGGTCCTGAATCAATAAAACTCTGAAACATGTGCATGTGTGCATTAGAAAGACATTAAACAAAATTCGTTACAGATTCATGAATTCACTGTTCAAAAAATGCACATAACTAGCGAGAGTGACTGTAAGAAAAGGAAAAAATACGTCAAGAAAGATAAGAATTATATAGGACGAATGTTATTTTAAAAGTAATTCTTTGGACCATTTTATATTTTCTATTGTTGGTAATAAATTGATAAAGGAAACATAAAAACAAGCCTTTTTTTCTCTCCAAACCTAAAAAAATAAAAAATTAAAGAAATAAAATGTTGTTGAAAAAAGTAAACATTTATGCATGAGTGATTTAAGTAAAAAAAAAAAAAAAAAAAAAAAAAAACACTGAACATTTTAATAACTTTTCTGAGTGAGTTGAGCTTCATATAAACATTGCAATGTCAGCCGAAATTTGCGTCCAAACATATAAGAGAGAGAGAGAGAGAGGAAAAAAGAGTAGTGTAAAGGTACGATTACGGAACAAACCAGGAGGTGAAAGAGAGAAAGAAGAGAGTGAATAAAGGAGAAAACACAAGAATTGAGAAAAATAAGGAAAACGAAAGGCGGGAGAAAATGGTTAAGAAGAGGGGGGGGGGGGATAAAGGACAAGATGCGATTATGGAATAGAACAGAAGAAAGAGAGAGAACAAGGTACATAAAAGCAATTAATTAAATATGTATATTAATACTTTTCGTTCTCTGTGTGTGTGTGTTGTGTGCGTGTGTGTCAGTGTGTGTGTGTGTGTGTCTGTGTTGTGTTGTGTGTGTTGTTGTATGTGTGTGTGTGTGTTCTATTTTATGTGTGTGTGTGAGTCTGTTTGTGTGTGGGGGGGGGTATATATAGACAGATAGATAGATCCATATACATACACCCACACACACACACTCTTGACTCTTGACAGAAAAATGTTGTTTGATACCTCACTGCCTCTTTGCGAAGTTCACTGGTAAGAGCGCGATGTGAAACTTTTTTCATCACCTATGGTATGGGGTGGTGTGTGTGTGTGTGTGTGTGTGTGTGTGTGTTTAGTGAAATGACGGTATTTCTGAAATTATCCTTGTTTTGAAGCTAGGAAACAGAAATGAGGTATACATTATGAATCAATTTTATTTTCCGATAATTTACCATAAAATCTTTTTTTATTAATTTGGCTTAATTTTTGTTTAACATTTTCAACATTCAAACAATGGAAGAGCAGGAAAAAAATACATTAATAAAAATGCAACACCTCAAAATACACAAGATACCAACACTGCAATGCCTTTTTCCTTTATTTCTCTTTTTTTTATAATTTTTCATCTGATTTTTCCTTGCATTCCTTTGCCAGACTTTCCTTTTTTTTCCTTATTTTAATCCTCAGTGAATCATTTTCTTTCTCTCTACTTTTCTTCCTTTTCCCCCTTCCATTCCTTCACATCCTCCATTTACTCCTTCACATCCCCCTTCTACTCCTTCACATCCCCCTTCTACTCCTTCACATCCCCTTCTCATTCCTTCACATCCCCCTTCCAGTCCTTCACACCCCCCTTCCTCCCAAAACCTTCACATCCAGCATCTACTCCTTCACATCCCCCTTCCATTCCTTCACACCCCCCTTCCTCCCAAAACGTTCCCACCTTCCACCTCCCTTCACCCACCCTCTCCCTCACCCCCAACCGCAACCTCCCCCAACTTTCACCCCAGCGCCACCAGCAGGTCCTCCCCCAAAGGCACGGAGAGGAAAACCGAAAGGACATCGCCATTAAAGGCCCATTCGGAGGCAGGTAGGTCGACACCGTTAACCTGGACTCCTGCAGGATTGGAAGGATACCCGAAGAACTGGAGCGTCTCGAGCTTGAGTCCGTGAACGGGGTCTGTGCTGTGAGCCACTGTCATGGTGAGGGTGTCCTGCGGGAGGGAAAAGGTGCTAAGGATGGTTTGGGTGTTTTTTGTTATTGTCATTATCGTCATAAGTAGTGGTAGGACTACTATTGATAACGCGGTAGATGTTATTACTGTCTTTGCTATTTTTATTTACTTTTTGAAGCTAGTGGATAGTAGTAATAGTATCTTCAGTGTCCTCTCTATTACTATTCTTGTAATGAGTCGTGCAAATATTAATCTAATACAGTTGCTCTTTGCATCCTTTTCATCACTGCCATCATTATGCCATCACTATTATTATTGCCATTATGACCATGCACATTCACTACAGTTATGAACCAAGATATCACCATTCATATTACCACGTTGTCACTATTATTAATATTATAATGATTCAGCCGCAACTATATTGTAAATATTTAATCATAACCATCATTATTATAACTATTGTAAACATTTAACCATAGCCATCATTATCATACCCCCCCCCCCCCCCAACCAACCTCCGCGAAGACGAAGACCCGGACGCCCAGGAAGGCCTCGTCCATTGAGTGCTCTCCGTCGCCGTCGTCCCAGAAGACCTCGCCGCTCGCCCCGCCGGTTGCGTTCAGGGCGACGGTTATGCCGAACGGGTTCTTCCGGCTGGAGGGAAAGGGGGGGAGGCGGGGGGGGGAAGAAAGGGAGAGTGTAGGCGTCATTTTTGGGGAGGAAATAAGGGGTTTTTAGAGTGGGAGTGGAAAGGAAATTGGTGAATTGATGCGAGAGGGAAAGGGGCGGGGGGGGGGGGGGAGGAAGAAGTGTATAGGCGTCATTTTTTTGGGGGGAAATAAGGGGGTTTTAGAGTGGGAGTGGAAAGGAAAGTGGTGAATTAACGATGTAGCCTTTTGAAGCATGTAGATAGAGATAGATAGATGGTTATAAACAGAAAAATATATGGATAAAAATATAGGAACATAAATAGAGAGTTACATGGGTAAATAGGTAAATACGTAGAGAGATACAGATAAATAGACAAATGGATAGAGAGATCCGTCTCTCTCTCTCTCTCTCTCTCTCTCTCTCTCTCTCTCTCTCTCTCTCTCTCTCTCCTCTCTCTCTCTCTCTCTCTCTCTCTCTCTCTCTCTCTCCCTCTCCCTCTCCCTCTCTCTCTCTCTCTCCTCTCTCTCTCTCTCTCTCTCTCTCCTCTCTCTCCTTCTCCTCTCTGGTCTCTCTTCTTCTCTCTCTCTCCTTCTTCTCTCTCTCCCTTCTCTCTCTCTCTTCTCTCTCTCTCTCCTTCCCTCCTCCCTCCCTCTCCTCCCTCTCTCTCTCTCCTTCCTCTCTCCTCTCTCTCTCCTCCCCTCTCCCTCTCTCTCCTTCCTCCCCTTCCCTCTCTTCCTCCTTCCCTTCCTCCCTTCCTCCCTCTCTCCCCTCTCCTCTTCCTCTCTTCTCTCCTTCCCCTTCCTCCCTCTTCCTTCCCTCCTCCCTCCCTCCCTCCCTCCTCCCTCCCTCCCTCTCTCCCTCCCTCCCTCTCTCCTCTCTCCCTCTTCCTCTCTCACTCCTTCTTACCTCTGCACTGTATTATGAGCAGGGACCTGATAGGGGATCGCCACGCCCCCTCTCGCATATACTGGGATTCTCTCCAGCGGCGCCTCCACGTACTCTGAGTGGGCGGGTCCTGAGGCCTTCCGCACGCCCGTCTGCAGGTCGTACCATTCGCCCTGGTCGTGGGGGAGGGGGTGTGGAGGGTGGGGGGGAGTGGTGGTTAATTGCGATGGCGTGTTTTTATTTAAGTAGCGTTGTTGTCGATGTTGTTAATGTTGCTTGTTTTTTTATTAGTAGAAGTAGTAGTAGTAGTAGCAATAGTAGAAGTCGTAGTGTAGTAGTATCATCATTATCATCATCATTTCTCAAAACCACATCGCGCTCCATCTCACTCCCACACAAATGCACAATACCATTCACTCCGCGGTGGAGGCAGCCTCAAAAGGGCGGGAGGATCCGATGTCGTCTCAAAATTGCGCTGAAGGAGTAACGTTATAGACGATCCACGCCCTTTTTCTTTGCGGAAACGCCCTCATGAAAAAAAAAACTTAAATGGAACGCTCTTCTACGCGTTTTATTTATCATAAACTTGAATCAGCACTAAGTTTTTTAAAAGTTTTTCATTTCCATTCAAATTAAACTTAAAAACTTTTATCACAAAGTGAGTGAATGTATATTCAAATGAATGGGTGGGTCCGGACACCTCCACCCCCCTCGGTGGCTCCGCCTCACCTAACAACCGAACCAAAGACCATATCATACAACTACACCTGAATAAACCACAACCATGCACACTATTCCACACAACTACACCAAACCGCAGAACCATACACACCATACCAATCAACTTCAACGCAACTTCGCATGCCATGTCATACAACCATACCAAAGAACCACACTACAGAACCACGCATACCATACCACTCAACCACACGTACCACACCACACACCCACCCACCTCCGGGAAGAAGACCTCCCTCCCCGTGGCCCCCTGGGTGACGACGGGCGCCACCATGATGCCGTCCCCCCACAGGAACTGGTCGTCCACGTCGAGGGCAGTCAGGTCGTTCGGGCTCAGAGAGAACACGGGTCGTACCACCGACTCGCCGTGCATGTGTGCCTGAGAGCGGAGATGTCCCATGCAATAAGTGGTCTTTATAGTTGGTAATACAGGGAGTCCTTGATATGCGCGACTTTAGATTGCACGAATTCAATATAGCACGGTGTTAAAAAGTGGTCTTTATAGCACCACGTCCTTGATCGACTTGAGATTGCACGAATTCAAAATAGCACGGTGTCAAAAATAGTTTTTTTTTCCTCATATTACAAAGATCGCTTATTGAATTTATTGTACAGTACTTGTTTTATTAATGAAAACATTAAAAACTACAGAGCATGAGCAACTTGAGCATTAATGAAATAATGTTTACTCAATACGAGTAACTGTTTTTATTTCCAACAACCATCCTTTAACATAGTGCATGAACAGTTTACTCCAGTACTGGGAGTGGTCATCCTTCCATTGCACGAAATTTACTATGCACGGTCCCTTCTGGTATGCATCTACCGTGCAAAATCAAGGACACCCTGTAATGGTTGGCGGTGATGCTTATGGTTGGTGATGGTGTTTGGTGGTGGTGTGGGCTGATTTTGATATTAATTATATTGATATTGGTTGTAGTGGTAATGGTAATTGGTATCCCTGGTCTGCTGTGCATGGTGCGTGGAGATGGTCATGCAGTGTGAAATGTTGACGGCTGATGATGGGGTAATTACTTTACTAAGTTGTTAATGATGCTTATGATGATATCGCTAAAGATACCGGAGTGGTTTATTTCCATTTGTAATGAATATCGTTTAATGAAGTATAGTATAATAATTATAAAAAGCTATATCTAATAATCTATCTATCTGTGTATCTATGTATCTGTATGTGCATATCTATCTATCTATATATATATATGTGTATGTGTGTCTGTGTGTGTGTGTGTGTGTGTGTGTATATATATATATATATATATATTATATATATATATATATATATATATATATATATATATATATATATAATATTGTGTGTGTGTGTTCTGTGTGTGTGTGTGTATATATATATATATATATATATATATATATATATATATTATATATATATATATATATGCATATATTATATAATATATATATATATATATATATATATATATATATATGTACTTGTATATTATACATATACATTGTGTGTGTGTGTGTGTGTGCGTATATATTTTGTATGTATGTATGCATAAACACACAGGCACAGGTACACCCCTACACTCACCCGATGGAAGAGGGCGTAGAGATAAGGAAGATACTGATAGCGGAGCAGCAAGTATTCACGTGATATCTCCGCGACTTCCGGCCAAGCAGCTGGGTCTTGGTCGGCGGTGTCAATGGTGTTGTGGTTGCGGCTGGTGCGAGGGGAAAGTGAGGGGAATGAGGGTAAGTATGAGGGGTGCGTGGGTGAGTATGAGAGGAGTGTGAAGGTAAATATGAGAGTGAGGGGAATGAGGGTAAGTATGAGGGGTGTTTGGGTAAGAAGAGAGAAGGAGGGGAATGTGAAGGTGAATATGAGAGTGAGGGGAAAGTGAGGGGAATGAGGGTAAAGTATGAGAGGAGTGAGGGGGTGGAAGGTGAATGTGAGAGTGAGGGGATGAGGGTAAGTATGAGGGGTGTGTGGGTGAGTATGAGGGTTGGGTAAGTAAGAGGGAAGTAAGGGAATGTTAAGGTGAATATGAGAGTGAGGGGAATAAGGGCAAGTGTGAGAGGAGTGAGGCTAAGTAAGAGACGTGAGGGGAATGTTAAGGTGAATATGAGAGTGAGGGGAATTAGGGTAAAAGTGCGTGGGTAAGTAAAAGAAGAGTGAGGCTAAGTAAGTGGGAAGTAAAGGGAGTGTGAAGGTGAATATAAACGTGAGGGGAAAGTGAGAGGGATAAGGGTAAGTATGGATGGGGTGAGGGGAATGTGAAGGTGGATATGAGGAGTGAGGATAAGTATGAGGTTAATGAGGGGAAATATGAAGGTAGGTATAAGAGAATTAAGGGTAAATATTAGAAAACGAGGGGAATTCAAGGATAAACACGAAGGATGGATGAGGGGAACGTGAAGATGGACAATAGGGGAAGGAAGGGTATAAATTAAGGGACATAATTTTCAGGGAAGATGAGGGGAAAGGAATTTGAAGGGGGGGGGGGTAAGGGAAGAGGGAAGGTGTGAGGGGAAGGGAAATTCAGGAGGGAGTTGCAATATGAGATGGGAAGAAGGATTATCGGAGAAGAGGTAAATGAATTATAAAAAACGCGTCAATATTTCAAAAACATAAACAAAATCTCCCGCGAGCCTAAAAGGATAAAACAAAAACACACACAAAATAACCGTAAAAATTCCTTTAATGTTCATCAAAAAATAAGATAATACCTAAAAATATTAAAACTGGATATCCACAAGGCCAAGCGCTCCTTTCCCTAAAATACAAAAACCAACAAAAACACATAGAAAATAATCGTAGATTCCCTTAAACGTCTATCAAAAGATTGTAAAACAAAAACAATAATATGACTGCATATCCACGAGGCCAAACGCTTCCTTCACCTAAAATACAAAAACAAACAAAAACATTCACAAATTCCCCTAAACATCTATCATCAAAAGACTATAAAACCAAAAACAATAATAGACCTGGATATCCACAGGGCCAAACGTTCCTTCCCCAAAAACACACAAAACACACACACACACACTAATTCCCTTAAACACCTATCATCAAAAGACAATAAAACCAAAAACGAGAATAGACCTGGATATCCACAAGGCCGAACGTCCATTCACCTTAAAAAAACACTCACAAATTCCCTTAAATACCTATCAAAAGACAATAAAACCCAAAACAATAATAGACCTGGATATCCCCAAGGCCCACCGCTGCCCCACCTGAAGGGGTAGAAGGCCCCCAGCTGCATCCACCGCGCGCACATCTCCATGTCTGGCTCGCCGAAGAAGCCGCAGATGTCGGCGCCCACCATTGGCACGCCGAAGAGGTTGAATTCCAGCATTCCTGGGGATTGGGGGGAAAGGATGGACGTAAATATGTCCGTGATATGTATGTTTATATATATATATATATATATGTATATATATATATATATATATATATATATATAATATATATATATATATACATATGTATATATATGTACTACATACACTCCCCCCACAACACACACCACCCCCACACACACACCCTCCCCCCCACACACTCCCTCCTCCCCTCCCACCACACACCCCTCCCACCACACAGCCAATCACGTCCCTCCCCTCCCTCCCCTCCTCCTCCCCCTCCCCAACCTCACCTATGATCGACATGTGCAAGTGACTCCACGACGCAGAGTTGTCTCCCAGCCAATGAACCGCGTACTGGCCCGAACCGGGGAAGGTGGACCGGGAGAGAACCACTTGTCTCTTGCCGGGGAAGATTTGCTGCAGACCTCTGAGTGGGGGGGGGGGAGGGGTAGAGGGAGAGAGGAGAGGGAAGGGAAGGTAAGGAGGTTGGAAGAGAGGGGGGGATGAGGGAAGGGAGGGGAAGGAAGAGTAGAAAAGAGGGGAGAGAGGATGAGGGAAGGGAGGAGAAAGGGGTTGGAAGGGCAGGGGGAGGAGGACGAGGGAAGGAAGGATAAGGAGGTTGGAAGAGGAGGGGGAGGAGAATTAGGGAAGGGAGGAAAAAGAGGTTGGAAGAGGAGGGGAAGGATTAGGGAAGGGAAGAAAAAGAGGTTGGAAGAGGAGAGTGAGAGAGGAAGAGGGAGGGAGGAGAAAGAGATTAGAAGAGGAGGAGAAGAAGGAAGAAGGGAAGGTAGAGAAAGAGGTTGGAAGAAGAGGTGGTGGAACAGTAACAGCAAAAGGGGGAGGAGAGGGAGAAGGAGGAGGAGAAAGAAAATGATGTGGAGGAGAAAGAGAAGAAAAAGAAGGAGGAGAAGAAGAAGTGGATGAGAAAGAGGATAGGAGAAGAAGGTTGGATTCGACAAAGAAGTAGATTAGCCAAACTTAAAAAAAAATGTAAAGAAAGAAGAGGAAAAGAAATTAATGGAAAAGGAAACGACAAACAAAAAATATATCACATTACAAATCTAAACCTTTTAAAAGATCTCGACATTACCCCAAAAAAATCAAGCAAAAAAGAGAGAAAAACATTAAAAGAAAATTATATATATATATATATATATATATATATATATATATATATATAATATATATATATACATATATATACATATACATAAACTCTTACTTATACGTCGCGACCGTCTCGGACCAGCCATAGAGAGAGTGGACGTCATAGTGAAGGAAGGTCTGGTTGCCGTTCGTCTGGTTGCCGGACATGCAGATGGTGTGGTCGCTTGGAAGGTCACGTGGGGAGATATTTCGATTTTATTATCATTATAATCGTTGTTATTGTAATCGTGATTATTATTATTTTATTATCATTATTATTATATTATATTTAGGTTGTTATTTTCCTTAATCTATGTATGGATGATTATAATCAATTGATTCTTCCTTTTTTCTTCCTTTTCATTTATGTATATGTATGATTTTTATCTGTGCATATCTGTGTATGCATCTCTCTATCACCTCTCTCTCTCTCTCTCTCTCTCTTCTCTCTCTCTCTCTCTCTCTCTCTCTCTCTCTCTCTCTCTCTCTCTCTCTCTTCTCTCTCTCTCCTCTCTCTCTCTCTCTCTCTCTCTTCCTCTCTCTCTCTCTCTCTCTCTCTCCTCTCTCTCCTCTCTTCTCTTTCTCTCTCTCCTTCTCTTCCTTCCCTCCCTCTCTTTCCCTCTCTTTCCCTCTCTTCCCTCTCTTTCCCTCTCCCTTTCCCTTTCCCTTTCCCTCTCCTTTTCCTCTTCCTTTCCTTCTCCCTCTCCTTTTCCTTTCCCCCTTTCCTCCCCTCCCCCTCCCTCTCCTCTCCCTTCCACTCACACTCGTCCTTACACTTACCCATTAAATCCTCCCCTTCACCCCCTCTTCCACTCCCCCTCCTCCTCTTCCCTCCTCCTGTCCCCCTCCCTCTCTCTTCCCCTCCCTCCATCTCTCCCTCTTCTACCTCCGCCTTACCTAATTCTCTTACTCTTGCTGTCTCCCACACGTATCATCTTCGTGGGGTAAGGCGGGCTGTCGAGCTTGTTATAAGGACACTTGAGGCTCCAGTCTGGCTCTCCCGACGGCCAGTTCCAAGGCTTGTCCAGGTTGGTGCCGAAGTTGGCGGGCTCGTTCATGTCGATCCACAGGGCGTCGAAAGGGAGGGTCTTTCGTGGGAGAGAGAGAGGGAGAGGATGATAATAAAGAGGGGATGAGGGGAAGAGGGGAAGGTGGTAGGAAAATAGGATGAAGGAAGTGAGAGATAGTTGGTTAAAGGGCGTCGAAAGGGAGGGTCTTTCGTGGGAGAGAGAGAGGGAGAGAATGGGAGGGAGGGGAGGATAATAAAGAGGGGAAGAGGGAGAGATGGTAGGAAAATAGGATGAAGAAAGTGAGAGAGAGATGGAGGTTGAAGTTGGTGGGCTCGTTCATGTCGATCCACAGGGCGTCGAAAGGGAGGGTCTTTCGTGGAAGAGAGAGAGAGGGAGAGGAAGATAATAAAGAGGGGAAGAGGGGAAGAGGTGAAGGTGGTAGGAAAATAGGATGAAGGAAGTGAGAGATAGTTGGTGCCGAAGTTGGCGGGCTCGTTCATGTCGATCCACAGGGCGTCGAAAGGGAGGGTCTTTCGTGGGAGAGCGAGAGAGGGAGAGGAAGATAAATGATGATAAAGAGGGGAAGATGGGAAAGATGGTGAAAAAAAGGATGAGAGAAGTGAGAGACAGTTAGGGAGGAGAGAAATGGGAAGGAGAAGATAATAAAGAGGAGATGACGGGAGGATGGGTAAGATGGTAAAAAATAAGGATGAAGGAAGTGAGACAGAGATGTAGGTTGAAGTTGATGGGTTCGTTCATGTCGATCCACAGGGCGTCGATGGAGAGGGTCTTTTGGGAGAGATTAAGATTAAGATTAAAACAAAAAGATAGAGAATAGGGAAAACGAGAGAAGGTTGGAAAGAAGTTGGCGGGTTTGCTCTTATCAATCCACAGGGCGTCGTTTTTTGTTGTTGTTGTTGTTATTGTTTTTTTTGGGGGGAGGAAGAGAATAGAAAAGAGAGAAAGAAGATAAAGGAGAAGATTTAGATATGATAAAGTGGGTGAGGAAGAGATGATAAGAAAGAGTGGAGGAAACGAGAGAAAGTCGATGTAGAGTCTATTTTAGGGAAAAGAGAATGGGAAGAAGGGAAACTGATAAAGAGGATTCGATGGAAAGAGGGAAAGACAGGAAGAAAGGATGAAGAAGGAAGTGACAGAAAAATAGACGGAGGTTGAAATTCAAGGGAGAATGAGAAGGAGGGAAAGGTGATAAAACGGAAGAGGAAATGGTGGTAAAAAAAATGTTGGAGGAAACGAGAGAAAGTTGTCTAGCTTGTATCTGCTGAAGGCAGGGAAGAGAGAAATATGATAAAGGGGTATTAAGGGGAAGGAATAATGATGATAATAAAGGATGGAGGAAACGAGAGAAAGGAAGGAGATTGGTGCCAAAGTTTGTTCATGTCGATCCACAGGTCGTGAGAGAATAGGAGAGAATAGGAAGGAGAGAAATATGATAAAGGGGTATGAAGAAAATAAGTGAAAAAAATAAAGAGATGATGGAGGAGAAACAACTACGGTAGAAAGGAATGAAAGAAAGAAAAATATAGAAGTAATTGATGTGGAAGCGGAATCAGAAAAAGAAGAAGGAAAGGAGAAGGAGAAGAACAATTACAACGGCGGCCACAACAAACAGAAGGGAAGAGCGAGAACAAGAAAAAAAACACACAAAGAAAGTTAAGAAGTTGCAGAAATAAAATTCTAGCAATAAATAGCCAACGGAAACATAAAAAGAACACACGCACAAAAAAGAACATCCTAAGAATGGTAAATAACTAATAAAAACCTGGAAATAAATTAATTAAAAGATAAAAACACCATCGCAAACCAACCTCATGGAAGAGTTTAAGCTCGTCACCCCACCAAGCCTGCGTCTCCGGATTCAGGAAGTCCGGAAAAACCGTCTTGGTATCCGGCCACACGTACCCGACCATGTAGTCCGAATAAGAGGTGTCCTGGTCGCCGGGTATGTACTCAGGAGAAGCCCATTTAATGTACACGTCCCGGTCCTTCCCTCTTTGGCCCGGTGGGTAGTTGGCCCAGTCGGTGACAAGCGCCGGGTCCTGAACGAGGGAGAGAGAGGCAAAGAGATAAGAGGGGGAGGAAAGAAAGAGAGAGAGAGGGGGGGAGAGGAAGAGAGAGGGTGGAGGGGAGAGGAGAGGAGATAGAGAGAGAGAGAGAGAAGAGAGAGAGAGAGAGAGAGAGAGAGAGAGAGAGAGAGAGAGAGAGAGAGAGAGAGAGAGAGAGAGAGAGAGAGAGAATAGAGTGGGAGAGAATGGAAAAAATATAGCCACATCTTCAAATAAAAAGAGAAGTATATAAGTGATTAAAAATGCATTCACATAATAAAACAATATAACAAGCAAACTAACCGAAAACAAGTAAACAACTCAATCACATGACACACATTACCAGAATCAACGTCAATTTGACATCATCGTTGTGTAGCTCCTGAACCAAGTCGGGAAAATCGCCCCAGGCATCGAGGTCATACGTGAAGTCCCTGTAGCGATTCATGTAGTCTATGTCACATGTTTGCACGTCCTAGAATGCATAGGGAAGGGAGGGTGAGGATAAATTTATTGTTATATTTCGTTTTGTTAATTGGTAACTGCTTTTTTGGTATTTATTCTCTGATTGTATTTGGGTATTTCGAAGAAATTTGATGAATTAATTTCTTGTTCTGCATTAATTGGCATTTCATTATTTTAGGCTCGTAAGAAGTTAAGCCCAAAGGAAGAATAACCAAAAATGCCTAAACCACAAAAGGTGGTAAAATTACAAATCAAATACGGAAATGCTAAATACTCTCACCATGCTACAACAACATATTCCAAATCTTTATATACGGACATTATTTAAAACACTGAATTACCTGCGGGATGCCCATGGCCTTCATTCGCTCTCTCACCACGCGCACGTTTTCGGTCGACCCGTAACCGTAGCGGGAAAGGTGGAAACCCAGCGACCAATAGGGAGGGAAGACCGGCTTACCGATCATCTTGATTGGTGGAGAGATTATGACGTCATTGATGAAATGGCATGACGATGATGAAGAGGCGGGAAGTATATGACGTCATTACCGTAGAAGTGGAAAGTGACGTCATTAAGTAAAAGTTGGAAATAATATCACGTCTTTGATGTGGATTTGAAAGATATCTGACGTAATTAATAGAAATGTAAACAAAAAATAACGCAATTACTAGAATGTATGTTTCTGTGGTTGACTTGAATGCCGCCATTTTTGAAAAGGTGCAGTGATATGACGTCACATGTGGAAAGGCGATGATATACATTCATTACATATAATACACACACACAGACATAAAACAATCCCTTACATTCGTATACTGCTTATTAATATCCTCCAAACTCGGCCCAAGGAAGAAGTGGAGGTCGACGATGCCACCGATCGAGCGTAAGGTCAAGGCAGGTCGACCGTCGGCGAGAAGGAAGGTCGAATATTCTAGGAGGAAGATAGTGTTATAAGTAATGGGATGGGAGAGAGGAGGGGGTGCAGGGGGGGGGGAGAAAGAGGAAGGGGAAAGAGAGGGCGGAGGAAAGGGGAGAAAAGAGGGAAGAAGGAAGGGGGTGGAGGTTGAGAATACGGAAGGGGGAGAGGAGACGAAAGCGGGGGGGGGGGGGGGGGAGGGAGGGGGTGGGAGGAAAGGGATGAGATAAGCAAGAAGGAAAGAGATCGAGTGTAGAAGGAAAGAGAAAGGACACGCACGCACCCACATACATACACATGCGCGTGCGTGCGAGCGAGCGTGCGTGCCTTCGTATGCTTACACATATACAAATAAATCACCCCCAAAATATACTTTACGAGCGCGATCTCCTCACCCATTGCATTGGAGTTGAAGAACAGCACAGAATAAGCCTCGCCAGTGTCAGGGTCGATGTTGACGTAGTAAGGATGGTGGCCGTACTCGTTCATGTCGCCCTGTTGGGGGAATGGTGGCGATGGTGGCGATTATGGTGTCGGTTTGTTCTGTCCTCCCCTCTTCATCCTTCTCCATCCGAATCTCAATTTTTTCTCTCTTTCCCCGTCTTCTATCTTCCTCTCTTTTTTCTTCCCCCTCTCTCCCTCTCCTTCTCCCTCCCTCCCTCTCCCCCTCTCTCCCTCTCCCCCTCTCTCCCTCTCTCCCTCTCTCCCCTCTCTCCCTCTCTCCCCTCTCGCCCTCTCTCTCCCTCTCTCCTCACCTCTCCAACCGGCTGATCCCTTGCGAAGATGGGGAAGGTTTGCCTCGGGGAGAACCTGTGTCTGAACTTCGTGTGTGTGTTCTCGCCGAAGCCGTACAGGTAACTCGAAGTCAGAGCTGCTGTTATTTGGATGAACTGGTCCTCGAAGGTTAGGGGGCCCTCTGTGCTGAAACTGGGACGAGAAGAAATATCTGTTGAGATTTTTATTGTTTTTTTTTCCTGTTTTTTATGTATACAGCTGTACGTGTAAGTGTTAATATACAAATTAATATATAGTATTTTGTTGTTTTGTGTTTTCTTCACCAGCTTCTTCGTTTCCCTGATCCCTCTTTTTTCTCTCTCTCCTTCTTCGTTCTATTCCCTCCTTCTCTTTCTCCTTCCAAAGAAAACCACTTACAGACTCATCCCATTGCTGCTTCCCGCTCTCTTAACCGAAAACCAAAATGCTTCGCCAACTTCACTCGTATTAACGAAGTACATCTGCCCCGTTGAAGTTGGACTCTCTGGGAGATTGAGCGGAACGGGGACCTCGTATCGCTCCTCGTCCCTCGGGGAGATCTTGTCAAAGAAAATGGGTAAAGGTGAACTCCCTATTCCGTTTTCTGTGAATGATTATTTTTTGGGGGGGAATCATGCATAATAATGTGACGGTATTCGAGGGTGGTCGCGAGCCCCTCCCTCCCACTTGGTGCCATAAATCACGCTACAACACTGGAGTAATTCATAATGCATAAATATTTGTGGTTAATTTAGTTCACTAAACAAATATTTTTGTACTAAAATTGGCACGCCTACACACACGAACACACGCGAGCGCACACACACACACACACACACACACACACACACACACACACACACACACACACACACACACACACACACACACACACACACACACACACACACACACACACACACATCACACATCATCATCATCATCGAAAATAACCTTTGACCCCTTCTCCAACATCTCACCTTGACCTGAACGTGGTAATCCTCGTGGTAGTTGACCTCGAACATAAGGTTTTGAGCGTCGTTGTCGAAGAGTGTGGAATACGGGTCGATCTTCTGCAGGTGCAGCTGTCGAAACATTGCATATACCGTCTAATAATCAGATTTTCTATATATTCTACTACAAACTGTTGATTCATCATATAATCGCCATTATCATTATTAGTTTTATTTTCATTATAATTAGTAGTTTTGTTTTTATTATCATTATTATCAACAGTAATAGTAGAAGTAATATGTTTATCATTATTTATTAGTAATATTATAATCACCATTATCATCAATACTATCATTATCATCATTATGATGATGATGATGATGATGATTATCATTATCATTATTATCATTACTACTACATTATTATTATTATCATTATTATTATTAATTATTATCATTATTATTATTATTATTATCATAATTATTATCATTATTTTTATTATTTTATTATTATTATTATTATTATTATTATTACTATTATCATCATCATTATTATCCTTACTATCATCATTATCATTATCATCATTGTCATTATTATTATTATTATTATTATTATTATTATTATTATTATTATATTATATTATTATTATTATTATTA